CAGAGTTGTCAGTCCATGGAACAGGAGGCAGGGCATTCATTTACTGGTTCCTGAACCTGTTCCAAGTTTGTAGTTTGCCACATGGGCTCCAGAGCCTTTGGGAGGAAGAGAGTAACACAGTGTGCCAAGGTGGGATGGTGCTGTTAGCATAGCTGTGGCTGGAATCAGACATGGACCAAGGGAATGTGACATGGGTCATCAAAATTTTCTGTTCAGGGACAGCAGACCTAAAAGTCACATGTGCCAAAAAGGGCTCAAATGTAATTCTACCCTAAGGTCATCTAGAATAAACCAAATCCTTCTCTTCCATGAAATCTTGGAATGTACGTGTCCCATACGCTACACTTGATTTTGATTATAATCACTTGATTTTTATTCCCCCGTCCTCCCATTTATTAGCTACAGGTTTTATAAGATAAGTACACTGTGTCTTCACATGGCATGGTTATATTCTACTTATCACCTCAGTTTTTTTCACATTGTACTGAAATTTGTCTTAAATGGCATAAAAATAGAATGCAGTATTCTAGGTGGGGTTGGCCAACCAATCTGAAAGTAGGGAGCACTAAGCATGGTACTCCAGCGTTAGGTTAATTGATTGTTTTGAAATTCAGTGACATCAATAACATAAAGTATGGCTTTTAAATATTCTATTTTATTTTTTACATATACTCTTCTTAGTTTTTGCATTCTTTAAGATGACGAAAATATCTTTGAATATAGTGCTTAACTTCCAGATATTATATTTTAACTTTCTTGTGGTGCCCTCAGAGCTTATATCTTTTTTAAATGACAATGACAGCCAATAACGGTGCCATTTTGAATTGAAATGGAGGCTTCTTCAGATAATTAAAGCAAAATCTAATGTCTCTTCATCCACATTTCTGTGTGTTTCACATACATACGGTATTATGTTGTTCCCAGTTTAAAATTTTGTTCTTTTTTAGGAAAGTACTATTTTTACGACAACTACTTTGACCTGCCAGGAGCTCTTCTATGTGCCAGGGTGGTGGACTATTTAACAAAAGTAAGTAGGGACTCATTTTTTTAAACTATGATATGTCTCAGTTATAAATTGGAGAACTTAATTACATATTGCTTCTGAGCTGTGATTTTTGCTCAGTTTCTTCTTTGTGGTTTCAGAGGTGATAAGGAAAGAAAACTTGGTGAATTTGGTTAAAATATTTTTGGGAAATTAAATAGCAGTGACTTTTTTTTTTCCTCTCAGGAAAAATAAACCTGTTCTCCAGCAGAGGGTGCAAAAGTTTAGAAAAAGAAAATAAATACAGAACTTGCATCTGGACAAAATATTTTCTTTAGTAAAATAAATAGTTTCATTTAGCAAAATGAAAAGTTAAAGGTTAAGACAATTCAGCGTGTCTTTAAGCATTCTAAATAATATAAAAGCAAAGAAATTGATGAAATTTAAAAATTCACCACTTTGAGCATCATTTAATGAATGTAAATTTTTTCTTTTGTACTGTATATTAAATCAATCTCTTGTTATACTAGTTTATACTTGGGACTTAAGACCTGTAAACATAAAACAGATTTATATGTCAGAATCACTTTTCTTTATGCATATGTTATCTTTTAAAAATCACTGCTGTTTAGACCAGGCACCGTGGCTCATGCCTGTAATCCCAACACTTTGGGAGGCTGAGACCGGCAGATCACAAGGTCAGGAGTTCAAGACCAGCCTGGCCAATATGGTGAAACTCTATCTCTAATAAAAATACAAAAATCAGCCAGACATGGTGGTGTGTGCCTGTAGTCCCAGCTACTCAGGAGGCTGAGGCAGGAGAATTGCTTGAACCCGGGAGGCAGAGGTTGCAGTGAGCTGAGATTGCACCACTGCACTCTAGCCTGGGTGACAGAGTGAGACTCTGTCTCAAAAAATAAAAAAAAAATCACTACTGTCATTTTGATAATAGAACACAGGTAATGTTTTATTTGTGAATCAGAATTACATTTATGTGTTGTGAAAGTTTCCATTGAGCAATAGTTTGGGTATGTTCGTAGAAATCTTTATTAATACAAGATAGAGTCAGTTTCTCATTTGGTAGTTATTATAAGCAAAGTGTATCAGTTTTTAAATATTTTGGAGTTTGTATATTTAGATATAAATATCTAGTAGTCTGTCTTTCTTTGGAAAGGTCACTGATTAACATTTCCAAGGAAGCAAAGGATCGTAGGGTTGTATGTTTTAATGTAATGTTTATTTGTTTCCTGATTGAAGAAAATATTAATAAAAACAATTTACATTTTGGATTTGGAACCTGATTCATTTCTTCTATTGAGATTTGCTGCTCTTTTCATATTGAAATTCAGGTTACCTGTGCACTGAATTCTAAAGTAAGACTTCAGTCTTCTTAGTCCCATTGATGCCATAGTATCTTATATCAAACATTCTGATATCTCAGAAATTATATAATGATGTGAATTTGCTGTGTTTAAAAATACTCTATAATTTTTAGACTTTGATGAGTGGAAATTTTTATTTTATTTGGGCTAAATGAGCAATATTAACATTTAGTGATATGTGTGTATATACATAGCAGTGATTTTCATGGAAGATTTCTCTTTTTAAAATCACATTTAGAAGAATGAGAACTTTATTAATCTATTATGTTTTCTAAAATATAAACTCCTTTCAGAATATAGTAATAGAGATGCTCCTTAACTTATGATGGGGTTTTCTTCCTGACAAATCCATCGTTAGTTCAAAAATACTGTAAATGCATTTTAAACATCTGGCTTGCTGAACATCATAGCTTAGTTTAGCTTATACTCAGAACACTTCCATTAGCCTACTGTTGGGCAAAGTCACCAAACAAAAAGCCTATTTTATAATAAAGTATTGAATATCTCATGTGATTTATTGAATACTGTACTAAAAGTGAAAAACAAAATGGTTGTATGGGTACTTGAAGTAAAGTTTCTACTGAGTCTTTACCACTTTTGCATCATCATAAAATTTAAAAAAATGTAAGTCTTACCATCTTAAGTCAGGGACTGTCTGCATTGTATTTGCCAGCATTTTTCAGCTATGCTTAAAAACTGAATTACTGCATTTATTACATTTGGAATTATTTTTTCAGCAGAACAATGGCCAAAAAACGTTTGATTTTTGGAAGGATATAGTTGCTGCTATACAACACAATTATAAAATGTCAGCTTTTAAGGGTGAGTATCGTAAAGAGCGGCTTCCTAATGCATGTTTGTTAAACTATGTTTGTCTGGTTAATTCGTTAGAAAGTATGTGCTTTGCTGTGTATCTTACTTAGGATTTAATTTGAGCTTAAATATTATTACAAAGTTAGTTCTGCTTACATTTTCAGAGGTCCTTTTATTTGCACTTCTTTGATGTTTATAATTGCCCATATTCCAAGCTGTACTGTGCTGTTACACTCTATTTTACCATGCCTGCCATGAGGTTCATTCTGTGAGTTCCTCAGAATTGAAGTTCCAGTTTTGCTTTTTCCTGGCTTGGGCATGAGGGTTGGTGACTTGTAACCATTAATGTAGTAGTTACAGACATGTGGGCAAATTGTATGCCAGCAGAAATTTTGTTCTTGTTGCCTAAGGAACAAGATTGGCTGACCCAGAATGGGGGTAGAGATATCACCAATCTTGAGCCCTGAATTTTACCTTTCTAATCACACCTTTGCTTAGATTACACAAGATTGCTTCTAAGGAATAAATAGATGCCGTTATTGTATGTTACCTCAGTGACTTGAGCCACATTGTCCTGATTAAACTAATCAGATGACAGATGCTCAAGAGTAGTATTTTTCAGCTTGGAAAAAATGTTGCCTTTTGATTGACATAAAAAATTGCTTGCCTTTTTAAAATGTAATTCAAGCCATCAAAACAATTTTAAATATTATGACTAAAAACATATCAAGACAGTAAATAGTAACTGCAGAATATTTGTTCAAATAGCATATTTCTCTGTTACCTGCTTCTTTCCCTCCCAGAGAAAAATTACAACTTTGGGGTGATTGTCTCATTTTTCTATGCTTAGTCATCAGCCCTTGACCCTGACTCAGATTGCATGTGGCTTTGTGGGCACCTTTTCACGGGTCTACCCTTAGTGATTGGGTCTGTAGGAATGAATATTCATGCCCAGTATAGGAACATATCCATGACAACTGTAAAAGCCACCCACCACTTTATTGTCCTACTTTTTTATTAGCTTTAAAAAATGAAAAGCCTTAAAAGAATGCTTGAGAACAGCAAATTGCTGCTTTCAAATTAATTCAGCATAAAAATCTATTGATGTTATTTTATTGTATCGTAAATAAGGAGTAGGTAAACATTTTGTGCTTTAATAAGTGAGGCACATCTTAAAAGTTTTAAACAGCAATATAAAAATACAGTACAGAGCATAAATAAATAATGTATCTCCACTTCTAGTCAATTTTTTGAAACCCTCAATGTCAATTATAACTTCACTTGAATGGGAGGCACAAGGTACATGTGCTAATGTTCTGTAAATCCAGAAAATCGTATCACATAAGATCCAATAAGGAATTAAAGAAGTCAGATTAATCACATTTTTGTTAAATAAATAGGAATAGGTCAGATACCTGTTTCCAAGTTATGCTGGGTATATAAAAAGCTTCTCTGCAGTCACAGAAAAGTTTGAAAAGGTTAATTGACGAAAGCACCTTGCATTTCAGATGAACTTCAATATAATATTTTGGGTTTTTTTTTAATATAAGAGCTTAAAAGCATACATGCACCTGTATATTTTATAGATATTGATGAAAGGGGCCGTATAGGCCTCAGAGTAATGCACCATCAGAAATATTTTAGGGGATACAGTGTCTTTTAAATTTGAATATTCAAGTATTTAAGTTCTACAAAGTTATATACTTCCTGAATGTTTCCTAAGAAATTCTCATATTAGTAGTTAGAAACAGGTTTTTTAAAAAAGGAAATATTGACTTTCTCAAATCAAACTTCACATAATTTAGAGCTGTATTTTTTTTCTTTTGATAGTTTTTTTTTTTTTTTTTTTAACATAGCAGGACTTCTTTGGTGATATTTTTAAATATTGAAGGAATTCACAGAAAACTTTAAAGAGCCTTAGGATTGCTGACTAGAAATTCAAGAGGGTCTTCACATGTGTTTTTACATTGCTGCTCACTTTTCAGGGGGAAGGTTTGTTGGTCTGATAACTCAAATCTGTATTTCAGAAAATAAAAATTATATTCTTTTCAGCCTACCTCCATATGCATTTTGTAGGGTGGGGTAAAGTTGGAGAATGCCTTTTCAAGCAGAAGATTTAGATTAGCTCTGTAGGGTGTACTCACATTGGAGCCACTAGGAATCCTGAGAAAGAGGAGTGGACGTACTCAGAGGAGTATAGGCCATTTGACTCGGCATTGGGCAGCTGGAGCCACACCTGGTCATTTTCTGTGAGATCAATGATGGCACTCCCTGAAGCCTGATCCAGGTAGCCTTTGATATATTCATCATAGGTGTACATTACAGGGGTGCCATTCTTATACAGGCCTACCCAAACATGAGTCCCTTTCACATGCACGTGGTAGGAAAAATAGTATATTCCTGGTATCCTACAAGTAAAAATTCCAGTCCTTGGGTCATAATGCTGTTGCCTGTTATACAAAATCTTATCAAATGGGATGGGAGTTCCTATTGCTGGGTAAGCTTTGGAGAGAATAACAGTAAAAGCAGACACGGGCATTCCTGTTACTCCCTGGTTGGCACTAACAAGTGGCATCCCAGAAAGACTGGGCCTTTGGCCTGCCTTTATAAAACCTTCAGGCATGACTGCTTGACCTGGTGGGCCAGGGGGTCCAGGGGGCCCTGGAAGGCCAGGCTCTCCAGAGTGGCCTCTTGGACCTGGAGGCCCTGGTGGCCCAGTGGGTCCATTGAGGCCCTTAGTTGCTATGCCAGCTGGGCCAGGAGGACCAGGATTTCCTGGATCCCCTTTAGACCCAGGGAAACCTGGAATGCCTGGTGGCCCAATAGGGCCTCTAATACCTGGTATTCCAGGGGCACCTCTTGGACCAGCCTCTCCACTGTGTCCTGGCATTCCCTTAGCTCCTCCTGGACCCATGGGGCCTGGGAGACCAGGAGGGCCTCCAACTCCAGGATCACCTTTTGGGCCTGGTAGCCCTGGGTTACCCTTAGGACCACTGAGACCTGGTTCTCCTGGATACCCTGGTTTTCCACCTGACCCAGGGGAGCCCCTTTCACCCTTAGCCCCAGGGTATCCTGCAGGCCCAGCTGGCCCTGTGTCACCTTTAGGACCTGGGAGACCATGGTTGCCTGGGATGCCTTTTGGTCCTTGGGGTCCCATATTCCCAGGGGGTCCAGGTAGACCTGGCTTCCCAGGAAGACCTGCTGGCCCTTGTTCCCCTTTGGCACCTGGACCCCCAGGAAGGCCGGCAGGTCCTCTTTGTCCCTTCAGACCTGGCAAGCCTGGTTTCCCAAAGCCAGGAGGCCCTGGGGGCCCACTTCTTCCTGGAGCCCCAGGGAGACCTTTTGTTCCTGGAATCCCTGGCTGGCCCGGGGCTCCAGCAGCTCCTGACTTTCCAATGCCTTCTGGCCCTCGTTCCCCAGGAGGGCCTTGGGGACCTGGTGGGCCAGTTGGTCCCATTTCTCCTGGAAAACCTCTATCACCTTTGATGCCTGGCTGTCCTGGAACCCCATTTTCACCTCTTTTTCCCACTCCAGGAGGGCCAGGTGGTCCCATGGGACCCTGAGGGCCTGGAAGACCCCTCTCACCTGGACGGCCAGGAGCACCATATCCCATTTCCCCTTTCTGACCATTCATGCCAGGGACTCCTGGTGCACCCTTTTCTCCAGGAAAGCCCCTGGGTCCTGGGGCTCCTGTGGGTCCTTGTTGTCCAGGTTTTCCTGACACAGAAATACCTGCTGGTCCAGGGATTCCAGGTGGCCCCGGTGGGCCCCGTGGTCCTGGTAGGCCAGCTGGTCCAATATCTCCTTTTGGTCCATATGGTCCTCTCTCTCCTGGTTTTCCTGGGAGTCCTGGCACACCTGGCTTCCCTACAGCTGATGGTCCTGGTGGTCCTGGCAACCCTGGCTCTCCTTGGAGTCCAGGACTTCCGTAGCCTGGTTTTCCTGGTGGTCCGGAAGGACCTGGGTGCCCTCGAGGTCCAGCGGGTCCTGGTGGACCAGGAACACCTTGCTCTCCTCTTACCGCTATACCTAAAAGACACACCCAACACACCCACCCATAGAAGGGGATGGTTAGTGACTTTAAAGATAATCATTGCCTTTCAAAATACGAATTGGGATAGAATATTTCAGTGTCATTTATTCCATGCCAACAAAACATTCTGAAATGGTTTTAGAGAATATGTTTTATATTGCTTTAAAGAAAAACTGCTGGAGAAGATGGTTTCACAAAACCATGGCTACCATAATACTTTTATCACATGACAGTGATTCATGAAAATGAGCTGGGATTGAAGAATTCCTCTAGAATAAGTGACAGTGAGAGTAAATTTAGTACATTTGTTTTGGGGAAATCATGTACAGAAAAGGCAGAAAAAGACTAGTGCAGAATAACTGAGAAAATGTTTAAGAACTATAAAAATTTTCCTTCTCAAAGCTATCTTGTCAGACATAAAAGAGAAACAGAATTAATTCTGATTTACATCTGCCATGCCCCTGCTGAACCCAGGTTAGATTTAGGTTTATTTATTTTTACCTCAGAATATACTGTGAGCTTTTATACTCTCCATTATTGACTTAAAATTGAAACAAAGAACTGGAGAATTAGACACAATGGGTAAGGCACATAAAATAGTATTAAAGTACTTACCTAAATACAAATATATATTGTTTTCATAGAGCTCTGAGGTCACTTGACTGATAAACTAAACTTAAACTAAAAAATCATAGTGCCTGTGATGTGAAAAATGCTGCTGAGCCACAAGTATGGGAAAAGCACAATGTAAAGATGTTTCTGAGATTTGGAAAACATTTAATGTGTATAAATGCAGAGCAAATCATTAAAATAGATAGGCTGAAATAGGAAAATAATTGTTTTTGGTTTGGATATTTTTCATAATAATTAGAGTTGTATTTCAATTTGAAAACATTTATTAATAAATACATAGAGCTTTCCCCATGGATTTTCAGAAAATGACATCAGGAAAAAGACTCTGAGAAAAATTAATTTATGTAAAAGATTTCCATATGTTAACAAATGTTTCATTGATTGTAGTAATATACATGATTATATTATGTGTCAGTGGATGTTGATATGTTGCAAATAGATGGATAAATAAGGAAGGAATTTTTTAATGGGTTGGAGGAATAAAATAGTGTATTTTTTTAAGTGCCAACTATGTTAGATTGAAGTTTGCTTTAGAATCTGATTATAAGTGTCATGTTCACAACTAAAAATAATTGTCTTAGTCTGATTGGAAACCTGTTTTACTGTTAAAGAAGAGAAATAAGTCAATGGAAATGAGTACATTGGGCATCATCCAAGGCTAGAACTCCAGTGACAGGGTTAACTTTGTTACCTGGAATGTTGTCCCAATGGGTCCTCAACTTCTCAGTTCAAGAAAGAATTTGACTTCTATTCAATGCTTGGGGGACAGCCCCTGTTTGTAGGTTACCATCTGAAAAAATTTTCTTCATTCAAGATTAGGGTGGCAGAGTCCTCAAGGAAAAATGACTGCTTGCTACTATTAAGTTTTTTAAATGCCACAAACTGAAATCATGATTGGTTTTGTCAAAATGTGGCACCTGTCTGCCCACCAGCTGTGGAATCCTCTGCAGCATAATTTAGAATGTTTTGACTGAACTCTTTTTTAACCTGTGTTGGATAGATATGCCTAAGAATTATGTAGTAACTCTTTGAATTTCTGTTATCAACTTAATGTTTTACCTGTATAGACTGTGGCCTTTTGTGTTTGTTACAGTGCATTAATGCCTGCCAATGGATGATAACGTAGTAGAGTGTCTATCTAAAAAGAGACCAAGGTGGATTTAGTACTTTAAATACAGCTTCTGAACTTTTCATTTAAGATATTTTCATTTGTTCTGTAAAAGTAGCCAAGATAATGGAGTACTAGTAAGAAAAGATCAAAATATTTTAACCTTCTAAACATAGTGCATTTTCTTTTTAATTCTAGACTGTTTATTATGCTCTTATTAAGGTATTAAAAAGTCTGAATTTGTGATCACAGAGACTACTGAATACAGTGCTGTAAAAGCAGAAGGTCCTTTGTTTATTTTTTTCTTTGCTAGCTTTTTACTTTTAACATTTTTATTTATATTTTGAGACATTCAGAAGTATCTGTTATATACCTGTGCATTTATTTTCAAATATTGTTACCTTTTGTGAAATATTTAAAATTTAATCTTTCTTCTTAAAAAGACAATTCTATAAGTTTCATTTGCTCAAAATGGTTGTTCCCAAAAGTATAATATTTAAAAGTGTATAACGAATATCCTTAGCTTTATTTACAGGATAAAATATATAACTAAAAAATTATGGAAAGGGAATTTGAAGCCTGCAGTCAGTTTGTATTGTTCAGTAGACATTTTATAGGCAGTTGTGTCAGTTGCTATTAAATAAAATTAGTAGATACAAGGCCTAGAAGTTGCCCTTCTTTAGATCCATAGCACTTTACATATATTATCGCAGTATCCTTCAAAGAGTAACCAAGAAAACTGGACAGATAAGCAACAGATTAGAAGAAGAACATTAACTTATTGAAGGCTGTATTAGTAACTAAAAGTAATAGAAGTGAAACTAGGAGTTACAGAAGTAGTAGTAGAAGTAATAGCAACACTTAAAGCACTTTACAGGTATTAATTCATTTAAACCTCACAGCAGCCCTTGAGATAGCTGCTCCTTATTTTACAAATGAGGAAACTAAGGCATGGGAGAACAAATAACCTACCTCAGGTTACACAGCTTGTTAAGTGTCTGCATTTTACCACTACATTATATTAAAAATGCGTAAGTAATTATGAGAATTGCAGTTTCATTTGCCTGCTTGACAGTTCTAATAATTACATTTGTTCATTGTTGTGGGGAGCATCAGTTTTTTTGATAAGACTGTTTTATGTCTGTTTGTGGGCTAGTTGAATTAGTTTTAAAAGTAAATGTTTACTCAGATAAATAAACCAGCTGTTTTCTTTGTACAATTGGCAATACTCTTTAGCATAAAACTTTTTAACTTGATTAATTTTGATTAGATCAATATTTCTGGATTACATGAATTATTTGTGCAAAAACAGCATCTGAGAAAAAAATTTCTACACACAAAAGTTCTTAATTTTCTCCAGCTATATCTTTATACTATACTTTCAGGTATATGGTTTCTACTACACTTATATGGATATTCTTGTCCTACTTTTTTCACGGATCACTTTGTTGTAATAATTTGGGCTAATTCAGAAGTTTGAAAATAATTTAACACTGGAGTTAAATGCATTTTTTAAGGAGGTTATTAAGATTGTAGAAAGCAACAACCAACTTGTTAATAGAACAAAATATACAATTCAGTTTACCTTTACTCTTTATGGTGTAGGGAATGAAGAACTGTGTCTTGGTGTTGGGTTGTGGGCCTTTTATGCCGGTGGGTGTTTGATATCGTTCAGCATAAAACACTCCATGAACCAAGTTCAAGGATAGTAGCAGCAAAAACAGTATTTGTGGCAGCATATTCTCAGATGGATTCTGAAAAACAGAAAATAATAACTTTATTCTGCATTATTATTAACCTATTTTATTCTGATGTTTCACAGATGAGTTCTTTATACAGTTATCTACTTTTTTAACCTTTCCTATATATTTTTAATATGTGCCATAAATAAATGAGAGATCATTATTTAGTAATCTAAATATAGTCTTAGTTATTTTTGGAAGCTATATTCAGATAATCAAGTGAAAAACAATGATTTACCTAAAGAAAAAGAAACAGAAATTAGGGTTGGATGTCTGTATTTTATTTAATACAGGATTATTTAATAATCCAGGATCTTTGACATATCCTGAAATATCCAATAGTTTCAAAATACACTGAAATTCCAATTAGGGCAAATTTTTACAAGTATGGTTTTATTATGATTATCATCTATAGACTGATGCAAAAACAACTTTCTGAGTGCACTTTAGTAGAAACCATATTTTTTAAAATCACTTTAATACTTCTAATATTTAAGAAAACTCAAGTATTTAAATTATCGAATGTTTGTTTCCAAGCAAGTTAACATGGAAGTCTGCCAGTGAGTGTACACTTACCTGGGTGCTGGGAGTTCCTGGAAATGGTGCCTTGGCAGCTTTCTGAAGCCTCCTCTGCCCAGGTGAGCAGTGCAGAAGGTGCCTCTCCAGAGCTGCCCTGTGGTATTTATACTGTTTTTCACTTACTACATGAGGTAACCCTGAGCTTAAGCTCCTCCCTTCCAAGATGGTAAGCAGTAATTATGGTGGAAAGTTCTATTGGGCAGGCACACAAGATCAGGCTGGGCTCTCCTTTTCCTTGTTTTCTTATTGAAAAATAAAACCTTTGTCTTAAATATATATTAATAGTTTTAACCAGGGACAATTTTTTTTCTGTGATTTTATCTTACTTAGTTATTACTCTAGTGTTTAGACTGGTTCATGACAGAATGAAGATACCTCCTTTTTATTTTTGAAAAACACATTCTTATGTTACTTGATTAATATTATATAATATGTAGTAGTACATAAAAGTGGATAAAGAATTCCTTGAATGGAGTACTGGATTTAAACCATCATCTAAATTATTGAGTTATTATATAAAGTTATCAATATATCTATTAATGTTTGTAAATTTTTGAGAAAATAGCTAACCTCAATTCTTAATTTTTAGGCTTAAGCAAAAGAAACAAAATGGCGAAAATGTAGGCATGTGGTTTTGCATGTCAAAATTTTAGTGTAAGCCTTCAGAAGTTAATAAGAAATTTTAAGTATGATAGCCTATTAAATATTTTAAATTTTTCAGACAGGGCAAGACATCCATGAATTTAATAGTAGAGTTAACAATATAATTATCCTGAAAGATTTAGTTTCCTTATTACAACACTGCAATATATTCAGTAAATGACTTCAGATTTTGATGTTAAATTTGGATTTACTTTAGAGTTGTATTAGAGTTTGCAAATCCCCTTAATTTGATAATCTCACATTATGTTAATTTACATAAGATTGCTGTGTTTATCTAAGGAGAAAACATTTTTCAAACTTTGCTTTCAGCTTTAAAAAAAATATTATTGGCTTAACTTACAGTTTCCTTTAGGAATCATCCCAATTAGAAATACTTTTTCCTCAAGATGGAAGTAAACACTATGGTTGTCAATTTCAGTAGAGTCTGTTTAACAATATTAGGAAAACTTTAAAATCAGTTTTTAGAATCCTAAAAAGTCTAACAAAGATAGGAAGCTGGGAACCCAAATTTTTTATATTATTTAATTTCCTCATTTTGAATCAAGATCAAATTGACTATACAGGTGAACTGATTGAGAAGGACAATTTTATACACAGGCATAGACACATCATTTTTCTACCTCCACAGAATTAAAGTAGCGTGGATTCAGGATTAATCAATAATTAAAATAATTGAAAGTTTGACCAATGAATGAAAGAAAGATTTGTCTTTTTTTCTTTTCCCTTTCTCTCCCCTGCAAGCAATTTTCCGTATTTTAAACAAAGCCTTGTATCGCCCATTATGGAAATGTAAATGGATAAGGCATCTTATTGCCTCTCTCCTCTGGCTTTAGAGCATTTTGTTAACTGCAATATTAAAAATTCTACAGTGTTATATATGTCTCTGTATAATATTCATAGATACATATTTATAGCAGTTCAGACTAACAGAATAGGAAAGTTTATATTATAGTCATTCTTTCATCATTTGGAAATTATATGTGGAATAGCTTTTGTAATTATAATACATACATCTGCTACATCTGTACGAGACCACAAAAGATAAATGTGAGAAAACACCTGCCTTCTACTGTCTTATGGCTCATTTGGACAACCTTTTGAAAAAGTGAGGGAGGTAACTTTATAGGATGCTTTTGAATGCTAGATTGAATAATTTGTTTTGAAAGGAATTATTAAAAATATGTATTTTAGTTTTTTTATGTATATATCGTGACACACATGCACACACTTACTTCTGTTTGCTTATAATTGAGACTGATACCCTGTTATCATTCATGTGAACGTTCAGAGGACTAATTCTCAGCTCTTAATATATAGCAATGTGTGCCTCTGTATACCAATTTTTCATCTGTGGCTATTGCAACACTTTTCAGAGCTTTTTACTTTAACCTTTCTGGGTATCTGTTTTTTATCAACACAATGAAAAGTTTGGACTAGGTGGTTTCTAAGCTCTTCCCAGTTTTAAAATTAGATTATTCTTGTGTTTGAGGTATTCTGCTGTTCTCCATGGTCAGATGGTAGACTTGGCTCCGATTAGTACTTACTAGAGACAAAAAAAAATCCATATTGGGTGGTCGTATGCCTTCTTTTAGGATATGTAAATATATTTGGGTATTTGTCATTCTATATTCCCCTTTAGTTTTGGAAAATGTGGTGTCCTCTTTGAATAAGCCTTGGGCAGCCAACCCTTTTTGCAAACAGTATACTTACTTCAGCACAAGGAATCTGACTGCTGTTTGCTTTGTTAGTCACATAAGAAGCACTGTCTGGTCCAAAACAGATTGTAGAATCAGAATATTTTCTAGCCACACCCCACCCAATTGTGTATTTAAAACTATTTTTATTCTGGGTGTTTACTTGTAGCTGTTTGAAGTGACTAGTCTGTGGCTTTATGAAGGAAACCCATTCCACTCAAAACAGAGAGTCATATTCTTTAAACTCTATAACCTGAGTGATTTTTAAAAATATCAAATATGAATGATGCTTTCTTCATATCTAGCAATTAGCTACTATTAAGCTTGCCTATTCATTTGCACATCTGTGGATCATTAATTAATTCACTTTTTGTTTCTTAAGTACTTCTTAAGTGTTAGGTATTGAGATAAACACTTGGTGAATAATATACTTTCTGTACCCTTAAAGTGTTTACACGGTGGTTCTCAATCTCTTTTCCCCACTCCTGCAGTCCTGAGGGAAGTGGCACAATTCCTTCCATCTTTGAGGTTCATTAAGACAGTGATGGTTCAAAGACTATATTTTTATAAAGCTCCTTTGGTGATCATGGTGGCCTCCTAAGCTAGAATGTATAGTCTGATATCAGTGTTCTGTTACCAGCTTGTTAATATTAGTTACATTGCTTTTTGTTGTTTGTGTTCATATGATTTTTAAACTTTTCTATAGAAAACGTTAGTCTTTTACAAAAGTAGGAAGGGTAGTTACAATAAATGCCTATATGACTATCATTCAAACTAATCTCAGCTCACTGTCACTCAATTCTCCTTTTATTAACCACTCCTCTAAATTCTGAAGCAAATCCCATATATTGTATCAATTCACCTATGAATATTTTTGTATATTTTTCCAGAAGGCAAGGAGTCTTTTTTCTTTAAAACAATATCATCTTCAGATTAAAAAATCAGCCATTTCTTAATATCATTAAATAGTATAGTTCACATGCATATATAGACATGTATACACACATATGTATGCACATTTATATTTTATATAGAAACAAATACATATATATCCACATATCCACATATATTTTTTGATTGATAAATTGTTTGTTCAAACTAGGTTCATGAATTGCCATTGATTAATATATCCCTGTTGTCATGGTTTGAATGTATCTACCAAAGTTCATGTGGTGGACACTTAATCCTTAATATAACAGTTTTGGCAAGTGGGATCTTTAAGAGGTGATTAGGTTATGAGGCTATGCCCTCATGAATGGATTAATGTTGTTATTGTGGGAATGGGTTAGTTTTTGTGAGAGTGGGCTGTATATAGAAGCAAGCTCAGCCCTCTTTTTCTTTCTTGCACACTTTTGCCCTCTTTTGCCTTCTGCCATGGGATACTACAGTATGAAGGCTCTCTCCAGATACCCGTGTTACCCTCTTGGATTTCCTAGCCTTCAGAACTTTGTGCCGAATAAACTCTGTTCATCATAAATTACTCTGTCTGTGGCGTTCTGTTACAGCAGTGTAAAATGGACTAAAGTACTTGTTATTCTAGGTGTCTTGTCATGTCACTTTTTACTCTCTTGCAGTTTATTTGTTGAAAAACTGTGTCATCTGTCTCATGCAGTTTCCTATGATCTGGAATTTGTTGTCACATAACTTGCTGCTCTGCAGATTGGTAGTTAAATCTAGAGTGTTCATCTGATTTTAGGTTTGAGATACACACATGCACTCATTCACAGACACAACACACACACATACATATTTTTGGCAAGAATGCTCTATAGAGAGTGGTATGATATACTTCTGTCAGGAGGCCCTTAAATGCTGGTGTCCCGCTGGTGTTACTGGACATTGATAATTACCTATATTCAATTCAGTATGTTATTATAGGTTATAAAATGGTGATATTCTGACTTTATCATTGGTCTTTTATTTATTAGCTAGGATATTTTCTATAAAGTAAAACACCCCTTCCTCAACTATATGGTTATCCTGAGATAGAGCGTGTATAGAAAAAGCCAGAGAAATGCCTTTATTGCGTTTAGAACAATAAGCTGCTCCTAGCATCCTCCACAGGTTCAGTGAGGG